TAGATTAAATTAGATAAAGAGTGAGAATAAGATTGGGAATAAGAGTGAGAGAGAGTAAGAGAGAATTAGACAGACAGAGAGACAGATAACTAGACAAATGGACAGATTGATAGATAGATAGATAGCTTCGATTCAATTCGATTCGATTAGAACAAATGATGAGAGAGAGAGAGAGAGAGAGAGAGAGAGAGAGAGAGAGAGAGAGAGAGAGAGAGAGAGAGAGAGAGAGAGTGAGTCATAGAATCGTAGAATTGTAGAATCATAATATCAGAGAATCAGAGAATCAGAGACAGGAAGCCAGAGAATCACCGAATGAGAGAAAGAGAGCGAGGTGAAAGGAAAAGAGGAAAAGAGGAGATTAAAGAGAAGCCAGCCATCACCAAGGGAATAACGCCTCGTAAGGAAATGAAGTGGGAACCTGAGAGAACCTTCATTATAAAGCATAATATGATGGCGTGTGGAGGTGGAGGTGGGGTGGGGGGGGGGTTGGGGGGCGGGTGGGCGGGTCTCTTCGTGCTCGAGGAGACACTAGGGTTGAAGGCTGTGCTGGAGGGGGAGGGGGAGGGGGAGGGAAGGAAGGGGGAATGTGAGGGAAGGAGGGGGAGTGGGAGAAGGAAGGGCAGAGGGAGGGGAAGGGGAAGAAGGGGGAGAGGGAGAGGGGGAAGGAGAGGGAGGAGAGGGAGAGGGAGGAGAGGGAGAGGGAGAGGGAGAGGGAGAGGGATGGATGGAGGGAGGGAGAGGGAGAAGAAGGAGAAGGGAAGGAAGAAGGAGAGTGAGTGGGAGAAGAAGGAGAGGGAAAGAGAGAAGGAGAGGGAGAAGGAGAGGGAGAGGGAGAAGAAGGAGAAGAAGGAGAGGGAGAGGGAGAGGGAGAAGAAAGAGAAAGAAAGGGAGAAGGAAAGGAAGAAGGAGAAGGAGAGGGAGAGGGAGGTAAAAAGGGAGAGAGAGATTTAAACATTTAAGTAGATAAAGAGAGAGGGATATAGAGAGGAAGAGAGAGAGAAGGAGATAGATATAGAGAGAGAGGGAGATAGAGAGAAAGGGAGATAGAGAGAAAGGGAGATAGAGAGAGAGGGAGATATGGAGAGAGGGAGATAGACAAAGAGGGAGATATGGAGAGAGGGAGATTTAGAGAGAGGGAGAAAGATAGCAATATAAAAAACAAAACAAAACATTATCATACAGGCTCCGGGATACAGTGCATTCCGGTACTATGTTAGGGAGAGTCAACATACCACACTGTATGCTTAGGTTTTCGAAAAATCTGAGGTATGATATTCCGGGGTCATTCATCCTTGTTAATTTGTCTAAAAGTCCGTTTCTCGTTGCTCATTATATATATATATATATATATATATATATATATATATATATATATATATATATATATATATATATATATATATATATATATATAATTCGTTTACTGTGTTTTAAAATCCCAGGTCTAGAGCATATTTACAGTGAAATCCAGTAGTAATAAAATAAATAATAAAACAGCAAGTTATAGCCTTCATTTTAATCCAGAATAGAATTCCACGCGACAGTGTATGACTTTCAGAAAGTATAAGTCAGGGTATATTACTATAATCATTATTATTTACAGGATTCTCTCGGAATTCTTTTCCCCGATAGCCAGGTGTTAATTTCCGTTCCACGACACTCTCACTCCGATAAGAAAGGCAGATCAGATGGACGCTCCGAATAGTATTTAGGCTACGATTTACGATACGAGCGCTAATGCAAAGGGAAGGGAATGCCAAAAATATCCTCGGGTGGGGGGGGGGAGGAAGGCTAATACACAGGCGTTATGCACCATCGCGCGTGTGCTTTCTGTTCAGTGTCTGTGTCCCTTGTTTCTTTTAGCTCTGTTCCTCACGGCCTGTGTGTTAAGGGGGACTGCGCATTGATCTTGGACTCTCATTGGTTATATTGTAGAAAAGGTGTGGATGAGAATGAATATCTTCACAGTGCGAGAGTTGTATTTGGCCGTTTTCGAAACTGGTCAATTGCATCTCTTGTGCTGCGAAGATCTGCATTCTCATTCATAACTTTTCTACATTTGTCAACATGAATACGGTTCACTCTCATTGTTTAAGCGTGTTCTCGTTCGATACGATTTCCTTGCCTCTGATAATGACAACTGCTGGTAATCGTAGTTTTAAAATTATCTTTATATTATCATTGCCGTTGTTACTAATGCCTTTGAATATAATCAGTTTATTGTTAGTTATTATTATTGTTGTTGTTATTTATTGGCTGTTGTTAATAATTCTGTATTATTGCTATTGGACTAGTGGTGTCTGTTGCGGTTATTATTGTTAATATTAATATTATTATTAATGTTGTTGCTATGTTGTTGCTGTTGCTATTTTATCATTATTATTACTATGAAAATTGTTTCTAGCATAATCGTCTTTATAATTATCAACATTGCTGTTGCTGTTACAAGTATTATTCATTTATGTGTTTGTTAATTTATGATAGTGTTATTACTTATAAA